TACGTTACGTTTACTTACTTATTATATATATATATATATATATATATATATATATATACACACACTGCCCTACTAATAAAAAATAAAAAAACAAAATTGAAATTCAGGCCGAGGATTCTATCCTCAGGTCGAAGGATAATTTTGTAAAACATAAAAAAAAATAGGTTAACCGACCTTCTTTGTAATTTTTACCTATAAATGAAGTATTTTGTATTTTAGAAAAAACATTTAGGGTTTGTATGTAAATCACTCTTAGGATTTTACCTTGTTCAGTTTGGTATTTAAGAAGAATAAATTCCATGGTCTGAAAAGGAACCGAAATCCTGAACATATTTTTTCTACTTCTATGAATTGCTGAATATTGGTGATTAATCAGAATTTGGTTATTTGTTAATTTTCTTTAGCTTAAATTTGTAGCTCTAAAGTTTTGTTATGGAAATCTCGATATCCATATTTCCACAAAAATTTAAAGAAAGTCTATAATAACACTAACTTTCTTCCATTTTACCCTTTTTTTTTTTTTTAATTTCTTTTCCTTTTTAAATTTTAGTACACTGGAGTTTTAGGAGCATTCAATTGCCAAGGAGGCGGATGGTGCCGCGAATCCCGTCGCAACACGTGCGCATCCGAATTCTCGCACGCCGTGAAGTCGACCACCAACCCTCTAGAGGTCGAATGGAAAAAAGGCAAATATCCGATAAATATCGACGGCGTAGATCTGTTCGCGGTCTATCTCTACACTGCAAAGAAGCTCATTACTTTGAAACCTGATGAAAATACTGAACTTGCACTCGAGCCCTTCAATTTCGAGCTGTTCACAGTCTCCCCTGTGAAGCTCTTATTCAATGGGGGCTCCATGGTTAATTTTGCTCCAATTGGGCTTGTAAACATGCTTAACACTGGAGGAGCAATTTTGTCCATGATTTATGAAGAGACCCCCAAAATACAGGTGAAAATGAAGGTGAAGGGGCGTGGAGAGATGCGTGTGTATTCGTCTGTTGAGCCTGAAGCTTGTCTTTTGAATGGGAAAGAAGTTGGGTTCCTCTATGAAGAGGAGATGATCGTGGTTCAGGTGCCATGGCCAGAAGCTTTGGGTGGGATATCAGAGTTAGAATATATCTTTTGATTCTGTTACCTGGGTCTCATCTCAATAATACAATAAAAAGAATTCAGGAGTTTAGATGGGGCAAGACCCCTCTTTCTCTCTCTAATTCACAGAGGTGTTCTGTCTCCTTCCTCTCTAGAACTGGCAAGGTTTTCTCTCGCTTTCTCTCTCTCTCTAATTCCCAGAGGTGTTGTGTCTCCTCTCTCTCTCTCTCTAGAACTGGCAAGGTTCTCTTTCTCTCTCTTTTTCTTTCAATTGTGCATAAGTGCACACTGTTAAGGATCTTCGAAGGGCGTATACCGTAACGACTTTTGAGTGGTATCAATTGGACTACTCATGTGTTGGCCTTTTTCTAATTTGTGATTATTGTTATTAATGAAATATCTAAATTGAAGCTACCTTGAGGCTAGATGTTTGGATAGTTGATACCTTGTCGTATAATGTAGTAATCTTTTTGTTTGAGGTTATTTTAGTTAATTAATCAAGGATAGAGTAAAATTTCTTGATAGAAATTTTTAATAAAAAGAAAAATATTTGTTGACTATAGTAGATAATGACATTATATGAATGAGATAACATAAACCATATGAAGCATTAATTATTTTTTTAACCTCTGAAAAATATAATTAGTTTCAAGAGAAATATCTCTTCCTCATATGCTGTTGCTAAAAGAATTTTATATCACAAACAAGCGTAATGAGTGTCTAATGAATGTTGAGTACATTAGGAAAACACTCTAAGATATTCTAACTAAACTCAAAAAAAAAAAAAAAAAAAAAAAAGAAAGTCTGAAAAAATGAAAGAAAGTGAAAAGCTCCCTTCCCTTACCTCAAAGCCACCCCACACACTCTCTCTCTTTGATTTTTAACCATATCTCTGTGTGATCTTTTACCCTCGCTCTTTGGTGTCTCTCTCCGTCGTTTATCTCTCTTCCTTGGAGTTCGATGCACAAGTCCAATATTAAAAACATCAGACCAGCCTATACTTGAATTTTACGTATTGAACCTCGTCAATATCTCTAAAATCGAATTGTATTTAAAAAAATTGAAGCAGTTCAATATCTCTAATGCCAAGTGTCACTTTTTTCTTAACATGTGTTCAACATCCATATCCTGGTAAACATATCATGTAATTACCACGCTATGGTCAACCTCTATATCATATTAGTTCAACCATGTTAACTACGTGGTCAACCTATGTATCGTGGAAATCCGTGTTATACAAATTTAAAAAGAGAATGAAATGAGGGGTAGTTTAATGTTAGAGATATCTGTCTATGCAATTTTTTTCTTTTTTAATTTGAAACACAATTTGATTTTTGACATATCAAACTAGTTTACATGTAAAAAACAAAAGAAAAAAATAAATAAATCAAAGTTCGTTTAGTCAGATGTTTCTAATGTTATCTTAGGCATCGAAATGCCTTAGGATTAGAAATATAAAAAATAAAAAAATAAAAAAATAAATTAATGCTTGCAATACCAAATAGGGGGCAAAAGTAGAATAGAAAACCATGAAAAAAAGCGAACTCAAAATATGCAAAAATATAGACCATGCGGAAATTCGTCATTTGTTTTGAGATCTATTTGTAAATTTACGAGAAAACATGCATGGTATTTGGAAAGCATCTAGCAGATAGCCATTGAGACGGTATATGTATTGTCACGACGGCACCTAAGATATTTTTACTCAACGTAATGAAAATTTTAATGTTGGGAAATTTTCATATGGACTCAGAGTAAGCTCGTTATCAAAGAATAGTTCGTATTTTGGGATATTTTTTGGCAATCTAAAATTTTTGAGTTTTTCATTTTGAGTTTAACTTTTAATTTGATAATCCAACCTTTGAACATCTCAAAACACATAAAATGAGCCATTCGAATGCCCAACTATTCAAAATGTTAAAAAAAGAAAAAAAGAATATTTGTTTTGTTCGAAAGTCCAAATTTCTCATAACACAAACTAGAATTGAGCATTTAGGCCATTTGAAAGGTTATTTAAACACACACACTTTAAACATACGCACGCACACACACACCCAAAAAACTAGGGAAAATTTTGTATAGAACTTTAATTTCTCATATTATTTCATGGTAGACCATCTTTCCGTTTTTCTTTCAAGCAGCATAAGGAAATCTCTAAGGATTTCACCGTACCCCCTCATATCTTATTTATCTATTTTATTGACTTTTGACCATAAGAATTCGCTTCAACAAATCTTTTTATATTTTATCCCAAAAACTTTTTTAACCATCTTTTTCCTTTTCTACCCATTAAAAAAGTTTTTGGATTGAAATAATATAAAAAGATTTGTTAGGGCTAATTTTTATGATAAAAAGTTAATAAAAGAGGGAGATAAGAGATGAGAGGTATGGTGAAATATTTAGGGCTTTTCTTATGCCGCTTGAAAGAAAAATGGAAAGATGGTCTACCATGAAATAATACAAGGAATTAGCATTCTAAATGAAATTTTCCCTAAAAACTAAGTGTTTGGGTGGTTCGAAAATCTAACTTTTGAGCCATCCTTAATACATTTATTTTTCTTGTTTTTATTTGTGTTTAGAGATGTTCAAACCGCTCAAATGTTTAATTTTTTATACTTTTGGGTGGTTCAAAATTTAGATTTTCAAATTGCCAACAAAATAAGAACAAAAAATACTTCAAGATTTATAATTTCCCTATCTTTCTTTTATAAGAGAGATATAATAGTGTCTTACATTTTAAAATTTTACTTCGGAGAGGGACATGCACTAGTCTCTTTCGCACTTTTCATTTGCTTTGCTTATTTCAATTTTTTTTAATTTCGGTAGGATTTACTTGAGTCACAAAGGAAAAGCAAGTTTTCGATTCGAAATATTATAAACTAATACGATTGCTCATGAACAATGGACTGCAAATGTTCGAATAATATTGCATAAAGGATAAACGTTAAAAAAGAAAGAATAATTGCATAAAGGATAATATTCATAACATAATATATTTTTTAGAATGCTAAGTTGGGACCTAATAGAGAATATATTATTTAGAATGTTAAATTGGGACCTAGTAGGAGAGGTACCCAACACATTATGATGTGATATCCGCTACCTTAGACCACCTATGCCTTGGGCCCACTCCATAGAATATTCCCCTTTTCCAATCAAGGATTTACTCTCATAAAGAGGTTGTATCCAACTGAATTTTGATGGTAATACATATTAAACAAAAGTATATATTGTATATCTTATTAATATAGAAGGTGTATATTGTAATCAATAAATATGGTAAGGGTAGGATGTTGTATCCTGTATTTTATGGTAAGTCTGGGTATAATTTATGTGTCTATAATATAGCTTCTATTAGTGTCATCTTTAATTTATCTATAAAAAACAAGTCTGTACATTCATATCAATTAATAGACACTGAGTCTCTTCAGAGAAATCTGAGACTCTTCACATGGTATCAAAGCCAGATTCATCTTAGCTGTGTCCATTCCTCATCTCTGAAGTATTGTCACCAACTTTCAAGACGAGTATATTGCTCACCTAGCCTGTGCAACTTCTGTCAAGCCATTTTTTGCATCTCTGATATGTTTCTCTACTGAGTCGTGTTTCGACTTCGACTGTCTAATCTGTTTGATCTTTTCCAAGAGTTCCTGAAACCATATGTTCTTTAGGCTTGTTGATTCGCCACTGTTTTCTATGTTTGTTGATCAATCAATCTGAATATGCAACTGAAATTCCAATTGCTCGTTTCGACGACTTGGTTTTCAAACTCCAGTTGCTATCTTTCGTAACATCTTAAGTTTGAGGGGGAGTGAAATGAACGTATATATTGTATATCCGGTTAATATAGAAGGTGTATAATGTAATCAGTAAATATAGAAAAGGTAGGATATTTTGTCCTGTATTTTATGATAAGTCTGGTAGAGTTTAGGTGTCTAGGTTTAGTTTCTATTAGTGTCATCTATAATTTGTCATATCAATTAATGGACACTGAGTCTCTCCAGAGAAATCTGATACTCTTCATATTACAAAGGCAACCCTAGCCGAGCAGGATTTGAAGGAATTGTGTGAGATGAAAGAAGTCTTACCATTCTCACAAATGCCAGACCTTGTGTTGTTGCTCCGCTAATGTTGCAGAGTTAAAAGCGATGTTATAGGGTACCAAATGTCTCCTTCCTTCTCATAACAGAGTCACGATTAGATATGTTCAAAGGGAGTTTGTTTGTGGAAGTAGACCAAATTCAAGAGGTATGCGACGAAGAAGTGACCATATCGAAAGAGAGGAACTCCAATGTAGATCATCTGGCTAGAATGGATGCAAATACTGGTTCCATTTTTTTTTTCCATTTTTTAGTGTACAGATGTACTCGGGGATTTTGTGCATCAAAGTAATTGTACATCTTTTTTGGTACCAATAATGTAATTTACCACTGGGTCCTATAGAGCTACCATGGCATTATTGTTAGTGAAAATTGATGGAGCGCGTATGAAACTAAACCTGATATCAGAGAAGGGGTGCCGTGAGGCTGGTAATCACAAAGCTCGGATTTTTGGATTAGAAACCCTTGCTGCTTGCCTTTTAGAGAGAGATAAAGAAAAACTGTGTTTACAAATGAAGTTCTGTATCCCTCCACTTTTTCTTTTTTTTTGGATGTTCGCTTCCTCTCTCTGACTTTCTATTTTATAGGGAGAAGAAGGGCTAACCATTATATTTCTCTAATGTGTCTTTGAAAAAAAAAAAACGTTTCCTTGATATCAGGGATATTCATCTAATGTTCATATGGATGTTGGATCATATGAACGTTGGATATAATTGTTTCGGATAATTATAATGAAAATTGGATTCCCACAATTGTAGTTTAAGACACGTAAGGTCTCATAGCCATACGTGTCAATATCTCCCACTTGACTATGACGGCCAAGCATAATAAGTCACATGCATACTCCCACTTTTGAGTATGACCTTTAAAAAAATATATTGTTATGAGGTTTTTCTCACGTTTTCGTGGATATGCCTCTCAAAAAAATGTCTATCAAGAGGCTTTTCATGTTAATGCAGATTTATCACTCATGAAATCTGATTGACTTAAACATTTTTAAGTTCCATTAAGTTAGTGTGCTTAGACAACAGTTCAACACTTAGAACATTTGTTAATGGATTAGCGATCACATCCGATGAGGGCAAGTAACTAACAATTACTTCACCTTTCTCAACTACATTCTGAATGTAGTGATATTGGACATCTATATGTCTTCGTTTGGAGTTATTTGCTCCACTGTGAATTAATTTAATTACAGCTTGATTATCACATATTTGGATCGGTCCGTTGATTATTTGTAGTTTCAAGTCATCTATAAAGCGCTTTATCCAGATGGCAAAAATACAAGCAGTGTTACTTGTAATGTATTATGCTTCATGTTTG